CTGTCTATCATCTTCATTAGACTGTTCACCAAATAGGTCGGGCTCTCTGTTTTCTTGAAACAAAGTAGGATTTACCTTTTGTTTGATGGGGCGGGGTCATCAGACTTGCTTGGTTAATGCATTTTGAGCAGAAGTGATGTGTCATTTCAGGGAGGGAGCCCTTAATTGCCAATATGAGAGTCCTCAGAGTTCTTTCCTTTGATGCAGATACCAGCAATGTTCACTGTGGTGGCTACTCCATCTGTGGGTCTGAGCAATTGTAGTGAGCAGACAGGCCCTGTGGCCATGATGGGTTAGTGTCATTTGAGCAATAATTAAAACTTTGCTCTTCTAAGGAGCCAGGATTTGGATGTGATTGTCACCACAGTCCAACCTGGCTTGTGCTGACTTGCATAGGGTTGCCAGGTAAAATACAGAACATTCAGTAAGATTTGAATTTCAGAAAAACCACATATCATCTTCTAACATGCATATGTTCCAACTATTGCATGGATCATTCTCATATAAAAATATTCATTGTTTATGTATAATTCAGTGAGTAAATTTATTTTCTGGGATTGTTACATATTTAATAAATCACGGCCTTTGGATATAAACCCTCTTAGATGTGAGTCAAAGGTTTCACTGTGTACAATCTGCCTGACTTTGAACAAATTACTTCATTTCTTAGCCTCATCTGTAAGACAAGTCTAAAAATACCTACCTCCTAAAAATACCTACCTCATAAATATTCTTATGAGGAGAATGCATGGAATGGTATGTTAAAAGTTTTTTTGTGATGTTTGGTAGACTGAAGTGGTCAATATTATTTGCTTTTATTATTAGTGTTATTATATTCACATGGAAATGATTTATAAACTGTTAAGACCCTTGTAAATGTTATCTATCACCATTACTAATTATGAGTTTACTACCAACTAGTTAAAGTCAATCTTGTGAAAGTATTTTTAATTTCTTTAACCTACTTGTTTCTTTTTTTTTTTTTGTCCCTATGTGTTTGTTTATTGTTGTTATTATCTACTACTTAATGAAGGAAATCATACGGTATTTGACCTTCTCCCTCTGACTTATTTCACTTTGCATTATACCCTCAATGTCCATCCATGTTGTCACAAATGCCTGGATTTCATCGTTTCTTATGGCTGAGTAGTATTCCATTGTGTATATATACCACAGCTTCTTTATCCATTCGTCCCTTGATGGGCACTTAGGTTGCTTCCAAGTCTTGGCTATTGTGAATAATGCTGCAATGAACACAGGGGTGCATGTACCTTTGCAAATTGGTGTTTTCAAGTTCTTTGGATAAATACCCAACGGTGGAATAGCTGGATCATATGGTAGTTCTATCGTTGATTTTTTGAGGAATCTCCATACTGTTTTCCATAGTGGCTGCACCAGTTTGTAACCTACTTGTTTCTTATTTGTAAAATGGAGCATGTGGTACATGCTATGCTTTTTCACCTGTGATATTTTTGTTGTTACATATTTCAGTGCATCATCGGATATGAATCCATTTGGCCCTACTCTAGGCTCAAAGGGCATCCAGCATGTCATCATCCCAGTTGGATCCACAGCTTAAATGATGCCATGTGAATATGACACACAACGAGGAGAAAGAGAAGGAACAGTAGCCTCATGATGGGAAACAAATTCTCAAGATTATAGGAAGAACTGGCCTTGTCCTATGGTGGCTCGTTCTTTAGTGCACATCAGTGGGGGCAGGTGATCTGGGAAAGATTTGAAAATTTCAGCCAGGGAGAAAAACCTTCTATTCCTAATAAAGAAGTTCAATTAGGGCCTGGGTGTCATTTGAGAGTGTTTCATCTATGACACATAGTTACAGATCCAAGTTTCTGGAGTCAAAATGGAAGAGTAATTCCACATGTTGTAGTTGATTCTCACTTCTGCTTATGACTCCAAGGTGTGGTGCTTTCTTTTTTTTTTGAGAAAAATAACATTGAAATATAGAGTTTTTCTAGCAAGTCATCCATTAATTGGTTCCCCTCTATTGCCTGTCAGCTTTCCCCTGGGAATAAAAAGAAAACTCTTCTTTTCAGAGGGTAAAAAAGGAGAAGGGCTTTGGTAAATGGGTATGCTCTTCTGTCCTTTTTACTCTCAACAATTCCTTTTATTTATTTATTTATTTTTTTGCCACCTAATTAAAAGAAAGAATCAACCCATTCTAGGCAAGCTTTTACCATGCTGAGTTCTTGCATAGATCACAACAAGGTAAGATGTTGGGGGCCAAAGTATTTCTCAGTACAGGTATTACATCAATGCTTTCTTGTGGTAGAGGAGTTAAATAGCACAGAAGTGTATGACGTAAACATTGACATTTCTCTCTGTCTTTTTGCTCTCTCCTTTTCAATTTTTCTTTATATTGTTTATATGTATCTCTTTTTCACTATATGTTGAATTTCTAAAGAATTAGGTCCCATTTTATTATCTCACATTCTAAGCACCTTGAACAGCACCTACCATAGAGAAGGAACTCAAATACTTATTTAAATGAATGAATACTTGTATGGAAGAACCAATAACTAGATGAATAAATAAATGGGAAGATGGAGGAAATGAATGAGGGAGGGAGAAGGAAGAGAAGAGGACATAGGGAAGCAGACTTCCCTACTAATCTAACAATGATCATCCTACGTTAATAGTCAATACTAGAGTTGGGGAGTCAAAAGATAGATTGCTCCTGAGAGGCAAAAATCAGGTAAGTCATCCAAACCCTGAAATAAGCTGTGGTTTTTGGGGGAATAGAGGCAGAAGAAATTTAACTTAATAATTAAAGAGCTTTGGAGTCAGATAGACCTTGGTTCACAGTCTCTGCTCTGTTACTCATTATCGAAGTGATCTTAAAATAACCTTTGAAAGTTGCAGTTCCTCCTTCTGTACATTAGATGATGGAAAGAGTACAAGTCTCCTATTCCCTGTCTCAGGAAAAAGGACTTAGGAGGAGTCAGTGGCTGACCAACATGTCTCTATGCAGAGAGTTGGGTTTTAACCAGGATCACTGCTGGCGGTTTCAACCTCAATTGTGGGAACGACTTTCTAAGCAAATTCTGGGCCCCAGAAATCACATAAGAAGTTAGCTTCTTCTATCACAGCTGAATGGCTCAGGAAAACTCTGACATTTAAAACTCAAGTAAGGTCAAATTGTGCTTTTTTGATCGCATGGAACTAGAGGCTGATAGAGAAACTTTGGATATTGTTTGGAATGAAAGAAAGTTGGTTTTAAAAAAGAACATAAAGTTCTAGGTATGTACACACCATTCCCTATTTCATTTCACTTGCTAAATGCAATCATAGCATAATAAATTTACATAATTTAATTAAATAATACTGAGCCTCCTTTAACTTTCATTTTAGTAAGAGTGAATGAGATAAATTTTTCTTGACCTCCTCTTATGTCCTAGGATCTTAAAAATGATATCTTAGTTCACACACTTGCCATGTGAGATATTCCTTCTTTAAGCAACTTAATAGAGGTGTTATGAGTAGTGATGGAGCCTAGATTTCAACTCTGTCTGTCCGTTACCAAATCATTTGCTTATTTTACAGTCTTTCCTGCTGAGAAAAGAAAGATAGCATTTGCTGGATGAAGGAATATAGCTATAGTGAGAGAAAAAGCTTTGTGTGTGTGCATGTGTATTTGTGTGTGTGTATGTGTGTGTGTGTGTGTGTGTGTGCATGTTTGAGAGCCAGAGCGTGAGAGAGAAAAGGAGTGGAGATTGGTGCATTGTAAGTATTCTGAATTAGCCTTTCCTATCAAAGTAGGAAAGGATGTGGCATAAATCATGTGAGTAAAAGCCAGTGCTCCTTGAGCAAGTTGACCAAATCATTGACCATCCAAACTGGGACACTTTTTAGAATATAAGGGTCTTATTATTAATAGGTATGCTGAAACAACAGGCATAAATTGGGATTGTCTCCGAGAACCTGACAGAGATTGCCATCCTGTCCCTAAGAAAACCTCTTCCTCAACAAGCACAAGTTTTGCCTAAGGTTAGGCAAAACCTTGAGTTAATGATTCTCTCTCTGCTGCTCTCTCCACTACCACTCTAAGCACGTCAACCAAACACAAGAATCTCCCAGGACATGGTGATTATCAGTGGCACTGACTTATCTTTCCAACTTGTGCTTTGCCGATTTTCATCTCTCAGCCCAGAGACGATGGCAAGATGGGACTGGGAAAGATAGCACTAGCTTCTTACATTTGGAAGTTATGTCAACTTAATTAGTACACATGGCTGATTTTATGCTGAGGGTAAACACATGCTTACTTCTAACCATGTACCAATCACAAGGCTATACGAAGATAGATAGCATCAACACAGATTTATTAGTCTGAGAGGAAATTTGAGAAGGCCAACCTGCTTCCTATTCTTGGCGGTACAAACTGATCCACCAACTCTTAGAAAACCCTCATCACACTAAGATAATGTCAAATCATTTTTGGAACAAGTTTGAGGTATCAGTGAATAACTTCTTTGATATGTTGGCCCAGCCATGATCTTTTGGGATTTGAGGGTCTGGTGAGACCCCATTAACTTGCTTTATCTTAGAGTCTTTCTGTGTGAGAATCTACACCCTCTCATCCCTCAGCACCGTCAGTCTGTCATTGATCTCGTCTTCTGCGACCCACTTCTCCTGCATCTTAATGAATTAAATATGTTGCTGATATTTTCACTCTGTTCAGACACAACTTAGCAATAAAATTGATCTGCTTTTCAATCTTAGGATCGGCTTTTGAATCTTGCACTAAGTAGACATCTAATTTAGTTCAGTGATATTGATGTAAAAATAGAGTAAGCACTCGTAGTAATCTGTTTAAAAAAACCACACTTAATTCTACGTAGCATCAGTGAGGGCTTTACTTCCCTGTCCCCTAAACAGTACCTTTAATCATAATCATAATCATAATCATAATAATAGAAAAGAAAGTATAGACTGAAAGGTTTGTTCATATCCTACCTCCTATACTTGTACAGTGAAAGCAATCCTCTTTACTGACTCTCTAAATCTTATGCATATATTCCCACCCCTTATTCAATCACAGATGGCTCTCTCCTGAAAAGATACCTTGCAGGTGGTTCCTCCACCTTAACTGGCTGGCTGCTGCCTTTCTGCTCATGCTGGATTGTCTGAGAGTGGTAGCCCAATGCCATGTAATTGGGGCTCATATCAACAATGGGCAGAGGGAGGGATGAGTGGGGAGACGGAGGATGCATCATGATCCCATATTGACAGGACTCATTTTCAGGAGACATGGGGGACAAACCAGATTTGAATGGTATCAATTCCTGAGAGAAGGACGAGAGGAAGTGGAGACTGTGGAGAGTCTCCTTCCAAAGTGTTTCGCTGAGAAACTAAGCAAAGACAAGAAGTAGTAGCTGATCAGTGATATAGTGTCAGAGAAGAGCTGCTCGTTTGTTTTTAGTTTTTATAGATTCTGTGGAAGCGGGTAAGAGGTAGCGCAGTTAACAGTCTTGCCAGAGTAAACTAGAGAAAGTAGATCCAGGACCCAAGTGGAAAGATTGGCTTTAGACAAAACCATGAGCACACTAGTTCATGAATCACTTGGAAAAGCCACCTCCTTTTTGTTACTGAAATCAGAAAGGTATTCCTCCCATGGGATAGTCATAATAAGAAACTTAGGAATGTTTTGAGAATAAAACACTAACAGATATTATATGATAATACTCAAAATTTCAGAAAGAAGTTAAAAATTGAAATCCCAAAAAAGAAGAAGATAAAAGCCTAGTAAACAGTAGAACCAAATCACATTTAAAAAGTTCAAGTGATAACAAAATAAAGGATAAAGGGATGGAAGAGATAAGGGGTATTAGATTAAGATAAAGAATATAATCAATGAGATAAAAAAGAGAAAATATTTGTTGTTAATGAAAAGAAATTCAGAACTGGGTGCAAAATTGAAAATTTTAAACTAGAAGAAGTAGAATAAGGATTTTGGAAGTCAAAGAAAAGCTTGAATGTTTGCAAACAGATCAAAGTTTTGATTTAATTCTTGGGCTAAGGAAAACTATTTAAGGGTTTTAAGAAAATTAGCATTTCCGTATAGGAACTGTAAGATCTCTTTCAAGCCATGAGAAAATAATTTTTCATGTGGAAGAGATTGGTAAAACTTAACATGACTTCATTAGAAACTAGAGCCTTGGACAACAGGAATAAAATTCCAGTGGTGAGAATTTACTCCCTATCAAATGTGTTGGGAGATGCATTTTGGGCAGGAGTCTTCATGGAACTCATGAAACCACAGAACATGGATGACATGCCCCGTACCTCAGCCTAAGGGCTGACTTCTGCTGAATAAACCCCAAGTACAATCTTGAAATGGGAGGCTTTCACATGACATCGAGCACAGGGGCCTTCTGAGTGAGGGGATTGTGGCAGATGCAACATGGGCTTTTGTGTTAATAAATACAAATATGTGTACAATCTTCAGCAATGTTGGCAATTTTTCATTAGTTTGTGTGTGGATCATTAGACAAATCTAGGTTTGGGATCTTTGCTGCTGTACCTTTTATGTGCACAGCATGTAGTTTTTAAGTAGTAAAATACGACTGCAGCGTTTAACAAATAAACAACTTAACAACAACAAAAAAACAACCGAAGGCCTAAGGAAACATCAGAGTGATTTAGCTTTGAGAATCAAAACCATTTATTCTAGGAAATACTTATCCACATAGGGAAAGTAAGATGTTGCTTAAGTATAAATATTTAAGGCCACAATGCAGGCCTTTCTCTATAACAACACTAATTTTTATTTTCTTTATGTTATGTAACTCTGCCTCACCGTTTTGTCTCATTGGGGGACTATTACAAGGAGACCAGTTGGACAAATGCTGCCCCATAGGCCTTTGTGCACTGATGGAAATGTTAGACATCTGTGATGTCTAATATGGCAGCCATTGGCCACATGTGGCTATCGAGTACTTGAAATGTGGCTGGTGTGACTGAGGATCTGAATTTTAAATTCTTTTTACTTTTCAGTTTTTTTTTTTTCCTTTTGACCCGTTATTGAGCCATTTATTCCATATTACATGTGAGGAAATAAATTTTAGAGTCAAATCTTTATCTAAGTTAACTGAGTAGGAAAGCGACTTCTAAGGCAAATCTCGCCGATGATAAAAAGTAATTGCCTCATTTTCTATGCTGTATTTTCTCTCAGCTAACCAATCAAGGACGTTTGCTGCCTGGACACCAGGAGAGCAACAATTTGATTACATATGTCTACCTAGATAAGGTATTTCTAGTCTAATTGTGTCAGAATATATTATCCTACATTTTATTCTATTCTATGTGTAATATGTATATTAAAGAGCTATGTAAAATATATAGCTAAATACATAAAGATTTCATAGATGTGGATCTTATTACTATTAAATTCCCTCAAGTGAGAAAGACCAACGGCCATTCTCTTATCTATTTCCTCTTGACATCTGCTGCCCTCTCTCTGAGTCCCACGGAAAATTTTTAATTAATTGTCTCTTCATTATGATATTCCCTCGCAATATTTCATTGAGTTATACTACATTTATACTACGTTTCTTTGAGTTATACTACATTTGCAGAAAAAAATAAACAAACTGTAATGTGTCCCATTCAATTTTATGTAATTCTACAGAAAATCCTTGAAATATAAAAATGCTCTTGTCTACAAAGACCTTGCACCTAAACGGAATATCTAAAACAGACACAGGAACACAATAAAGGTGAGGTGAGAGGCATCCATGAAGAGCAGCAGAAAGATGTGCTGTTCAGAGGACAGAGAAAATTTAGTCATTGGTGGGTTGGGAATGGTTTCGTGAAGGGCACAGGATCTGAGCTGGGTGTTGAAGGATGGGTCAGATTTGTAGTGATCTAGTTGGCTCTAGCAGGTGGCATGTCAAGCAGCTGGAATAGCAAGAGCAATGCATAGATGATAGGAAAAGAGGGCGTGTACGGGAAGAGAGGGGTACAGGTTGCCTGATGTTTAAATGGTAACCCAGAAAAGTAAGTTCTGGTGGGCCGTGGAGCTGCTGAATGCTACTGTCAAGAGTATTTAATTCAGAGGTAAATGAGGAATTAGTACAAATCTCTTTGACTTCCCTGAGTGAAACACCACACAACAATCAGAATTACAAGAGGTCAGGATCTCTGATGTGGAACTCTGTGATTTAATTGTGTTTATATTTTACAAATACGTCTTAGGGGAAGAGTTTCTCCCTCTATATTGGTATCCATAGCTGCATTTCTTTGTTTCTATTTCCTCTTCTGCAGCATTTTGGTGAGGGTTGGAGATATTTTTCAGTTAGGAGGGCGTCTGAATGGAAAACAAAAGCCCATGTTTCCAATGAAAGATAAAGGAAATAGGACTCTTCTGGAGAAGCCTGGAAAGAAAGGAGAGCACAAAGAGAAGTTCCAGCACCATTTCAGGAACACTCAAAACACGACCCATTACTCTTCTCTGTAAAACATTGGGGGAAGAGCTCCTTTTCCAAGGATGGGACTACATGATCCCTAATATTTTGACATGAAATTATGATTTCTTGTAGATAATTTTCTGACAAAGAGAACATATACTTGTTCATGAACAAACAGATTGCTATATCTTCTTATTTGTGTCTGCCTGACTTGGGCCACTAGGCGAGTTCAGGTAGGAGCTTGTGGAGGATTTCCTGCAAATCTGTCCCCACCACAGGAAACTCAACCAAAGGCTGCTGCGAGTCTGCAGTTATCAAACACAGATCAGCAGATCTCAACTCAGAAAAGGCGAACAGGTGTCCATTTGTTTGTATTTCTTTTTCCCAAAACATCTGGTTAATTGAGTTTGAGTTTAGCTGGGAAGAAACCCTAATTGTTTTATCAACATTTAATCATCTGAGTGTTAACATGTGAACTCAATAATACAGTTATAGAGAAAGAGATTTACAACAATATATCTTATTTATGCAGTTTTCTCAAGTTACTTGTCTTTCCTCTTCGCTCTCACTCCTTCCTTCCTTCTCTCCTTTTACTTTATCTCTTTTCAGTTCCCTCTCCTTTTTAATTTTTTTTTTTTACTTCAATTACTAGAAATGTCAGGAAAAAGTAAATGCAGGGAATCAAATAAGTAAAGATAAAGTTCACCTGCAAACCCAAGTGAGAATAATATACTCTATGATTTCCAATGTGAAGAGACGATATGAGGACACATACAGCAAATGTCCCCAAAAAGTAGAATTGGAGCCCTAGTCACATTATGAGATTCTCTAGGTTCCAAAAGACTCCACCATTGAATTACAAAAGGATAGACTTAGGAAGGGATAGCCTGCATTTCTATTCTTGGCATAAAACTAATTCTCCTATTTCTATTTAGAATTGCACTTACTTTATGCTTCAAGAACAGATATTGCAGTTTCTTGCCATAAAGAGTAGTGGGATTTTAAAAGTTCATTTGTTAAGTTGGCTTAAGAAAACACAAAAGTCTGAAAATTCCTTTAATGTCTTATGCGCCTTCAATGTTAAGGAGAGGGTGCTTAGTTTTAATAAGCAGTGCAAATAATCTATTTAGTCTAGAGAATGAATGAGTGAGAAACTTCAGTTTATCATCAAATTATCTCAAGCCTCTTATTTCTCAGATCCCTCGTATCCAGAGCAGGAAGGAGAATAAAAATGACAATGTGAAGAATAGATAATGGAGCCTCATAGCTGATGCTTACAAACTCAGGGAATAGCCAGGGATGAAGAAAAAGGTGATTTTTTTTTCAGTTTGTATTAAAATTAAGGCACCATTGTTACTTGCAGAGGTGATGTTTGGAATTCTCTTTTTTTTTTTTTTTTCCTTTGTTTTTTTGTGGTAACATTGATTTGTAACATTGTATAAATTTCAAGTGTACATCATTATCCTTCTATTTCTGTATAGAATAAATCTTGTTAACCACTCAAACACCAATTACAATCCATCACCACATGCATATGCCTAATAATCCCTTTCATTCTCTTCCCTCCCCCTTCTCCTCTGGT